GTGGGCTGCCGAAAGAAGCCCCTTTGGGGCCGCCTACCTCTCCCTCAAGAGGATTGGTTGGAGTTTTGCTTCTGTTTTGGAACTGCAAGACGAGAACGCGCTAAAATACCCGCTCACGACTTGCACGCCGAAGATGATGGCCCAGAAATGCAAGCAGCCTGGGATAGGCTCAACTTGCGTAAAGCTGCTCAGAAACTTGGCTATCCCCAGGAGACCCTCGATGTTTCAATTGCCCGAGCCTTGATAGACGGTAAGAGTTTAACTAAGAAGGCCAGGTCCACGCTCGTCTGCTTTCTCACTCAATGCATTTGGACGCGGACTCGGCTGCGTGAAGCAGGATATGAAGTAGAGGAGGCTTGCCAATGCGGAGCCCAGCAGGATACTTTAAATCATCGTTTGCTGGAGTGTAGCCTCTCAGCCCAGTTGCGCGAAGAAATGGAACTTATTGCAGACGAGCTGGATCAGATAAGTAACCTTTCAGATCAGGTCCTGGCCTTCGGTTTTCAGTTTTCATCTGATTTTGACTCGGGGGCTCCTGCTGGATTCGGCTACGAATGTGCTGATTTTTGGAGTCGAGACCCATCTAGCGGGATGGGCTATGGTGGCCATCGATGGGCACGGCGAAGTCTCGGCTTACATGATGGGGCGTGTGGGCAACCTCCTTCCTCCTACCTCCCCTGCTGCTGAGCACTGCGGTGTGCTTGCTGCTGCTCGGAATGCCTCCCCACACGCCCAGATTTTTGTAGATTATAAAGGAGCTGTTGCTGTGCACCAAAGGCCACAGTTTTCTCGGTCCGCCTTTTACGGGGCCTTTCAGGTCCTGGCTAGGGCCAGCATGGCCCCCATCGGCCCCAGGCTCCACAACATCAAAGCGCACGTGGACATCGAATCCCTGGCCCCAGGCAGCGAGGAGTGGCGACGTGCTAAAGGCAACGACGCTGCTGACCGATATGCGAAGATAGCCGCTGCCAGGGGTCCCCAGTTAAGTACTAATGAACTTGGGCAACAGGTTGCTCAGACAGCTCCTTTAAAGAAATACCTCAGATATGTTTCAGAAGCCCTCCAGATCTGGCCTACGGTGGCTCCGAAGGCTGGATCAAAAGGACTCGACAAACCAGAGAAAAGCTTGAACCCACCCGTGGGAGCGGCCGCAGCTCAGCCCGCCTGGGGACAAGAGGTGTCTCCTCCTCCGAGTCCTCCTCCTCCTCCCCCGTCGGTTCCTGGGGACGAGCTTATCATACCCAGGCGGGCACATCAGTGGCATAAATGGGGCAATGGGTGGCTGTGCGCTGTGCGTCGTCAGAGCTCGGCCTCGGACCATGCTTTAAAGCGCCGCGACAAGGAACAGTGCCCTGGTTCTTGTGCCCACCACCATGAGCTGCTGGCCAATCCACGAGGCCATAAACCGATGTTTCTTGGGTATCTGGATGATAGACCCTCGAGCATAATTATGTGCTGGAAGTGCGGCTCGTTTACAGAAGGAATCCGTGGCCTCAGAGGTGAATGCTCCCCGCCTACAAATGGACGCTTGTTGCAACGACAGCGAGCGGGGGAAGGACGGCACCCCAAAGGCACGGCGAGCTCGCCCATTTTGCTGAAGCCTCCGATCCCACTGGCCCAGCTGGTGAGAGAATTGGAGGCGATGAGCCCTGCTGATTAAAGCGGCACGAGCTCCAGAGACAAGCGGGATTCAACCCAATCTGAGCGCTGGTCCTCCTCACCACCACCACCACCACCACCACCACCACCACCACCACCATCCTCATCGGCATTCCTCTTCTTCCTCCCTCCTCCTCCACCTCCTCCTCATCCTCTTCCTCCTCCTCCTCCTCCTCCTCCTCCCTCCTCCTTCCTCCTCCTCCTCCTCCTGCTCCTCCTCCTCCTCCTTCTCCTCCTCCTCCTCACCCCCTCACCTCCTCACCTCCTCACCTACTCACATCCCCCTCCTCCGCCTCCTCCTCCTATTCCTCCTCCTCCACCTCCTTTTAGTAACCGTCTTGGCTCAATCGCAGGGTCGCAGGCCAATCCTCGCGCGCCGCCGCTGGGCCGATGCCGGGTACGCTGAAGGGTGAAAGCATGGCGGCGCTGGAGGCCACGCGCGGGGCGCTGCTGGCCGTCCACGCGGCCGCCGGGCTCGCAGCCGCCTCGGGGCGGCGGCCCGCAGCGCGCTTGGTGCGTGCGGCGGAGGGCCTGCTTCGCACGGCGATCGCGCAGCTGGGCGCGCCACCCGCCAACCTCGAGCCAGCGGCCGATGCGGGCCCCCCGACGGCGCAGCGACGCCGTCGCCCGCGCGGACGTGGCCGTGTACATGGCGGTGGAGATGCGGGCCCAGACTACGAAGGCGACGTCAAGATGGAGCAGGACGAGAAGGAGGCAGCTGGCGTGGCGGCGACAAGGGGGGCTGCCGTCGACAGCGAGCTGATGCTGGCCGACGAGTGGGCGGACGCGCTCCCTGTGCAGCGCTCGCGCCCTCCGCGCAGCATGGGCCTCGGCAAGGGCAAGGACAAGAACAAAGGCATGGGCGACGAGGACGAGTACAAGGACACGGACTCCGTGGAGGAGCTCCGCAGGAAGATCGCGCGCCTCAAGACTGCCGTGGGCCTTACCTCCCTCGGGGACTGCGAGAACTCCGATAACCCCCTGGTGCTCAAGGACATCATCGGTAACCTCTTCGCCTTCAAGAAGGCAGGGATCGTGGTTGGTGCTCGTCGAGCCGTAGGGGCAGCGGGCTGAGTGGCCCTTCCTCACTCCGCTAGGGCTCTCCGAGGTCGGGGAGCAGGACGGCGGCATCGGCAAGGCCGTCGTGCGCAACGCCATCGTCGTCGCGGTTGTGGCGAACAAGGGTGGCCCAAGGTTGCATCTACTCCGTCGTGCTGCACGTCGGCGTCTTCATGTTCTTCTTGCCCCTCTGAGGAGAGGGCTGGGCGGGCGCCCGACCCGAGGACCGCCTCGGCTTGCTCTCCTCCTCCTCCTTTGCCTCCTCCTCGCATCGCAATGTCATATCCACCTCCTCAGATTCCTCCTTTGCCTCCTCCTCACCTCTCATACCCATTCAGCGGCGGAACGAGTTCACAACTCTCTTCGAATTCGTGCCCGCGCAAGCCCTGTACAAGGCACTGCCCCCTCGGGAGCAGCCGCTGCCTACCGCCCAGCCAGAGCGCCCGGCACCTCCTGCTTCTCCTCCTCGGAGGAGGAGGACGAGGAGGAGGAAGAGGAGTAGGAGGAGGACGAGGAGGAGGAAGAGGAGGAAGAGGAGGAGGAGGAGGAGGAGGAGGAGGAAGGGGGGAGGAGGATGGGCGGGACGAGGGAGGAGGGGGAGAAGGACGAGGAGGAGGAGGAGGAGGAGGAGGAGGAGGAGGAGGAGGAGGTAGGGGGAGCGCAACTCTGCTTGGGGCTTCGCAAGCAAGTGCACGGCGTGCGCACTCTTGCAGGCGCACACGCCGCTGTGCCTGCTTGCCTGCTTCACCCTATGCTTCCATGGCGGCGACGCGCGCAAGCGGGCGGGCGGGGGCAGGGGAGAAAGAAGGCTTGTAAGAGGCAACCTCATTCCAAGAAACCCTCACCCCTCCAACTACTACCTCGGGCGGGGCCAGGACCAGGATGAACCCGTTCCAGGGAGGAGGCGTTCCAGAAAGCTAGCACAGCGTTCCAGAACGCTCTGAGAAGGCCGCGGCGCCCGCGGCGGCGACGCGGGCCTCACAGGAAGCCGAAGAAGGGGACAACGGGCGAGGGGCTGCGGTATGGGTGCCTTTTCCTTGTCTTGCCGGCGAGCGAGGGGGGGAAGTGAGAAGGAGAAGGTCTTCTCAGATGGCTCGGAAGTCGCCCGGCCTTCTGACAAGTTTTCTGAGCCTCCCCCGAAGACAAAGCAGACACTTCCCAGAAGGCGCAGGGGCTTCTGGGAAGCTCCCCCTTCTGAGAGGGCCTTCTCCTTCGCACTTCCCCCCCCCCCGCCCGCCGCCGAATGTCTGACCTCTGCGCGTGGCCGGCCTCCCCTGGGGATCTGAAGCCGACGCGGCGGACACGCCTCGCCCTGGCAGCAGAGAAGACCGAGAGGCTCCTCGCCCCCCCCCTCTGCAAGAGGCTCCCCTTCGAGAGCTGGGCCAGGGCGCTCGCCTGGAGAGGTTCCGGGGCCGAGCCTTGAGGAAGGAGGTCCGAGTCCCCTCGAGGATCGAGGCTCTCAGGACACACAGAGGCATACTGGCACTGTACGTCCTCCTTGGGGAGGCGCGCGTCCGACCCGAAACATCTAGTATACCCATCTTCCAGTATTTGTTTTGTTTCTCGTAAGGCGTCTGACGAATAGAACTTGGCATATGATTAAATATATGAGATCGAACTCCGTGTATAGCTACGTAAAAACTAAAAGCCCGATAAACAAATCCACTGGCCGAGTGATACGACTTCCCACTGTGCCGTTGCCCGAGTGGTGTGGCCAGAAGGCGCCCGCCACGACTGCATGCACCATGTAAGACTCCCCGGGGCGCGCGTCGCCCCCCCCGGGGGGGGGGGAGGACGACGCACACGCAGTCTTCGTATGTGTGGGGGTGCCGCCGAGGCTCTGGGGCGCGAGGGGGGAGCCCGTTCTGGGGACGCCACGGGGAGGCCCTCCCCTTCCGCCTCGCCCCTGGACGCCGAGGCTCTGTGGAGCGAGGGGGGAGCCCGTTTTGGGGAAGCCACGGGGAGGCCCTCCTTCCGCCCCGCCCCTCGGACTGCGCTTCAGAGGAGGTCTTGTGCACGTCGGAGGGCCCCAAAGGACGTCGAGACGGCCGCTCCGATCACTGCCACCCCGCCTTGGGGGGTGCCAAGCGGCCAGCCACCGAATCGCAACCATCGGACGACATTGGCCTCTCTGACCATCGGCGTTCCGGGGCCACGGTCGAAAGCCTCAAAACGCATGCGCGTCTATATTGCACGACCTCCATCATCGAGCCTGCATCATGCATCACGACGTCGGCCCCGGTGACGGTGCCAACGCGGCTAGATGATCGATAGCACGGGTCCTCTGGCAAAGGCTCTCCCAGCTCGTCCACGATGTCAGGCCCAGGCTGCTCCTGATCTGTGGCCTGAACATGTGGAGGGGGGGGGCAGTGGCGTGGATGGACAAGGAAAGGGACAGCGGAGGAGATGGGGCCCATAATGCGGACAATGGGGCGTGATTGGCACAATTTCCAGGAGGGAGTCCTCGGCTGCGGACGTCTCTGGTGCCAGCCCGCAGACACGGAGCATATTCCTCGAAAGGGTATCGGATGAGTGAGAGAACAGCGAGCGTCAGAAATTCCAAATCCAACGCACAAAAACATGACTAATGTAAACATGCATTTGTTCGTTGTCGCCATTATGCCCCTGTCCGACCCTGTACCTTTGCCGTCCTGCATGCCTTTTTGTCAACCGTCGCGCCTTGCTTGGAAAACCATGTGGGGCGGGGCCTTGCTCGGGAGTAGGGACATACCATAGACCGATATACTCTACCCTCTTTCCCCGACAGTGTAACGTACCGAACGGAACGGCCGCGTTGTGTCCACCCATATATACTCATCGACACCCACTGTGTCCATGGACGCTTGTGGCCAGAACATGTGAACAATGCTTGGCACATGCCCGAGATATTGGTCAGCGAGACGCATGTAAGCATTACCCTCCAGTGTTTTCCCCCTCTTGGCACGTCGCTCGGATCGCGTGCGCGCTCGGACCGGCAGAAACGAACCCCCTGCTGCCCCGAACCTCGAGCCCATATCTTCTGGAGCAGAAGGGCCGGGAGGAAACGTGAGGAGGGAGGAGGGACGAGGGGGGAGGGAGGGATTGGGGGAGAGGGACGAGGGAGGAATTCTGGGATTCTGGGTCGGCCTCGTGGGCGCCCGCAGAAGGGCGCGAGATCCTGGCACAACCGCCAAGAGGGCGGGCGCCATGGGCTCGGATTGCCGCCGCGGGGACACCGACAGGATGGCACAACTGGGGGGGGGGGGGCGCTCGGCGGCGCACGCGTGCGCGCGCGGCCCCGGCGGCCCCTCCCAGGCCGGCCCACGGAGGAGGGCCAATACGGTTTCCTGCTCCCTCCCCGCGAAGGGAGGAGGAGGAGAAGGAGGAGGAGGAGGAGGAGCAGCAGGAGAAGGGGGAGGAGGAGAGGGAGGAGGGAGTAGGAGCAGGAGTAGGAGCAGGAGTACGAGGAGGAGGAGGAGGAGGATGCAAAGGGCCTTGAGACGCTATGTCGACACTTTGCGAGCGGGGCGCGGCCAGCGAAAGCGGCCAATGGATGAGCCGAAAGGGAAGGATGCAGAGATAATCTTGGCAAATTGCTCAACCTTACTATGCGTGTTGCGTGTACGGAATCCGAAGGTGCCAGGCGGCCCAAGGAAAACGCCCACATACAGCCCGCACGGCCCCAAAATGCCCTCCATAGGCTTCCAAGGAGGGCTCTGAAAGTCCCGAGAAGATCGACGAAAAGGCTCCAAGAGGCTCCCCTCCCGAGTGCTCCTCAGGGGGCGCCAAATAGGCCCAAGCCCCCCAGAGCGCCTTCGGCTACTTCTCGTCGACCTAATCTTCCTCTATCTCCCTTCTCTACCCCGCTTTCGCCCCCGATGTCTTCAACAATTTTAGCGGAACACCTAATCCAGCACCGCGTCCAAGCTGCAACTGAACGTCCCGCCCCGAAATGATCCACGAAACATTCGCGCATACCGACCGCATGGCGAACACTGGCGCGCAGACGGTGGAACACTCCCTTGAGTGCGAAAGCAAGTCATCAATTGCACGTTGCGAGCAGAATCGTTGCGCACAACCGCGCAGGACATGGCTGCACGCTCGCGACACCTGCTGAGCTGGCACCTGGACGGGCACCAAGCGCCCGGGCGCAGTCGGACCCGGTACGGTAGCGAGAAACAAGGAGGCCCAGCGGCAATGGAAACTCACCGGAGCGAGAATCCAAACCCAGGTATAGACGCGCCTCCGCAAGTGGGAGGCGTTCCGAAATGGTGAGGAATCATGTTCCCGGAAAGCGTTCAAGAATATGAATCGTACTTCGTCCAAGGCGCCTCGGAAGGCGCAGAATACTCCCCCAAGGCGCGGAATCATGTTCCCGGACCGCCTTCCGGGAACATGATGGGGACGACCTCCTGAGGGCCTCCAGTGGGCCTCTTGGGGGCCTCTCGGAGGCCTGTTGGGCTCTCCTGGAGGCGTCTTGGGGCGCGCTCAGGGCCATTTTTGGGCATCTTGGGGGCCTCTTGGGGGCCTCCAGGGAGGCTCTTGAGGGCCTGTTTGGGGCCTCTTGGGGCCTCGCGGGGCCCTCTTGGGGCCCGCTGGGCTCGCTTAGGCAGTTTTGAAGCCCTGTCGGGGCTCTCCTGGAACCGTCTTGGGCGGCTCCTGGGCCATCTTGGGGCTCTCCTGGGCCGTCTTGGGACGATTTGGAGGGTCTCTTGGGCCGTCTTGGGGCGGTCTTGGGGGCCTCTTCGGCCGTCTTGGAGCGGTTTTGGGGGACTCTTGGACGGTCTTGGAGCGTCGGAACCCTGAAAAAGCGAGAAGGCCCAAAGCCTCGAAAAAAACAATGATTAGCCTGGCGAAGGACCCAACCATATGCAGTTGTGAGTAATGCTGGTGTGAGTACTGTCTTCGGTGGATCTCCCTATGGGGCTACGAACCGTTTGAGGGGTGTGCCGAAATGGGTGTGGGGGCGGCATGCGAACGTTGCCACTGGGGCCTTCGGTGGAGCTCCTTATGGGGCCACGAAACGTGTGAGGGGTGCACCCAAGTTGGTGTGGGGGCGGCATGCGGACCCTGCCACTGGGGCCTTCGGTGGAGCTCCCTGTGGGGCCACGGAACGTGTGAGGGGTGTGCCGAAATTGGTGTGGGGGCGGCATGCGAACGCAGCCACTGGGGCCTTCGGTGGAGCTCCCTATGGTGCCACGAAACGTGTAAGGGGTGTGCCAAAATGGGTGTGGTGGGGAGGCATGCGAACCCAGTCACTGGGGCCTTCAATGGAAATCCTTATGGGGCCACGAAGCGTGTGAGGGATGTGCCGAAATGGGTGCTGGGGAGGCATACGAACCAGGCCACTGGGGCCTTCGGTGGAGCTCCCTATGGGGCCACGAAGCGTGTGAGGGGTGTGCCGAAATGGGTGGTGGGGAGGCATGCGGACCCTGCCACTGGGGCCTTGGTGGGCTCCATGGGGCCACTGTGTGAGGGGTGTGCCGAATGGGGGTGGGAGGCATGCGGACCCTGCCACTGGGGCCTTCGGTGGAGCTCCCAGGGGCCACGAACGTGTGAGGGTGTGCCGAAATGGGTGGTGGGGAGGCATGCGGACCCTGCCACTGGGGCCTTCGGTGGAGCTCCCTATGGGGCCACGAAACGTGTGAGGGGTGTGCCGAAATGGGAGGTGGGGGAGGCATGCGGACCCTGCCACTGGGGCCTTCGGTGGAGCTCCCTATGGGGCCACGAAACGTGTGAGGGGTGTGCCGAAATGGGTGGTGGGGAGGCATGCGGACCCTGCCACTGGGGCCTTCGGTGGAGCTCCCTATGGGGCCACGAAACGTGTGAGGGGTGTGCCGAAATGGGTGGTGGGGAGGCATGCGGGCCCTGCCATCTCTTGGCCTCTTGGGGGTTTCCTGGGGCCTCTTGAGGGGCCTCCTTGGGGCCTCCTGGCGGCCTCTTGGGGCGGAAGGCTCGAGCTTGCGGTTCGTGGTCCCCCTCTGGGACCCCTCTTGGGCCCGTCTTGGGGCCCTCTTGGGCCATCTTAGGCGCCTCTTGGGCCGTCTTGGGGCCCTCTTGGGCTGTCCTGGGGCCCTCTTGGAAGTTTCTTGGGCCGTCTTGGGGCGGTCTTGGAGGCCTCTTGGGCCGTCTTGGACGCGGTGAAAGCCCAAGATGCGAACATGCGAAAAATATACGCTTTCCCATAGGAATGGCACGATTGTTGTTTCTTGGACCTCTCTTGGGGTGCCTCTCGGAACGTCTTGGGCTGATTTTGGAAGCCTTTTGGCGCCTCTGGGCGGCGTTTTGGCGCCTCCTGGGATATGTTGGGCCGGAAGCTCGGAATTCGAGAGTGGCTTTCTCCTTCTGGGACCCCTCTCGAAGTCGTGTTGGGGTTCTCTTGGGCCGTCTTGGGGCCGTCCTGAGCCACTCGTGCGCAGCCTTGGAGCGCTCCCGGAGGCCTCCTAGGCCGTCTTGGAGGCCTCTTGGGCCGTCTTGGACGCGGTGAAAGCCCAAGATGCGAACATGCGAAAAATATACGTTTTCCCATAGGAATGGCACGATTTTTGTTTCTTGGACCTCTCTTGGGGTGCCTCTCGGAACGTCTTGGGGTGCTTTTGGGAGCCTTTTGGCGCCTCTTGGCGGCATTTTGGCGCCTCCTGGAGCCTCTTGGGCCGGAAGCTCGGAATTCGAGGTTGGCTTTCTCCCGTCTGGGGCCCCTCTCGAACTCGTCTTGGGGCTCTCTTCGGCCGTCTTGGGGCCGTCCTGGGCCACTCGTGCGCAGCCTTGGAGCGCTCCCGGAGGCCTCGTAGACCGTCTTGGGCGCCTCTTGGGCCGTCTTGGACGCGGTGAAAGCCCAAGAGGCGAACATGCGAAAAATATACGTTTTCCCATAGGAATGGCACGATTTTGGCTTCTTGGGCCTCTCTTGGGCTGCCTCTCGGAGCGTCTTGGAGGCTTCTGGGACCTTCTTGGTGTCATGACAGGCGTCTTGGAAGGCATCTGGAGCCATCGGAGCGCGTCTGCGAACGATCTTGGAAGGCATCTTGGAGCCATCGGAGCGCGTTCCGAAGCCGCCTGCGAACGATCTTGGACGGCGTCCGGCGGTCCGACAAGCCTCCGGGCCCCCCGGAGCCCACATTTGTGGTCGGGGTCCCGGCCCCGGGCCCCCGGACCCGGTGCGCCGTTATATGTGTATGTTTGCAAGAGTTTCGTTGGTTGTCATGGTCAACGTACAAGAAATCGTGTTTTTGGAACGATTTATGATTGCCAGGTCGCAGCAATTACGTTGATGTGTGAAACAACGCGTTCTGTTGACGCTTGGGGGGTGGGGGTTGGAACCGGACCCCCCCTCTGGATTAAAGGGGTGGGTTCGAGCCCCCCCCCC